GAATGATGGTGAGAGGGAGATACCTGGTGGAGGGGAATAACGGGGAGAAAAAATGGGACAACTGTAATAGCATAATCAATAAAATATATTTAAAATACAGAAATGAGTAATAATTCCTCTATATCACTTAAGAAAGACCCATTTGTCCTTGCTGGTGTGTTTCAGTGGATTGAGAGCCAGCTTGCAAACCAAAATGTTGTTGGTTCAATTCCTAGTCAGGGCATATGCTGGGTTACGGGCCAGGTCCCCAGTTGGGGGCACGTAAGAGGCAATTGATCGATGTTTCTCTCACACACTGTTCTTTCCCTGTCTGTCTTCCTTCCCCTGTCTCTAAAAATAAATAAATAAAGTCTGTTTTTTTTAAAGGACCCATTTATTATTTGTTTCACTATTTTACTTCATGAAGTAAAAGTAGTAATGGTAGTTTACGAAGCTTCACACTTCATTGTTCACTAGCTAAAATCTATGAATGAATCAGAGAACATATAGAGGCAAGTATTAAAAGGGAAGAAATTCATTTGTAACAAATCAAATAAAAAATACCTTGTTTAACATTTTTTTCTAACTTCAACTTCACATACCAGCAACCAAAATCTGGTGAGTCCAACCAGGGACTTGAAGGCAATGATGTTTCTAAACACAGGAGGCCAAACATCAGTGAACTAACTCTGTTAAGTCATACATAGTCTTAAATTGCTTTTAAAAGAACACATCAATGGAAATAAGATGCTACCTCCTGGCTAACTCACAGAATGGCAGGAATACTGTGAATAGTGAGTAATGGGGGGCATTTCAGAGGTTGCCATGGCAAATCATCTTTTTTTTTTAAAGAAAGCAAATAGTATACCATCAATCATTTCATTTACCTTCAATTTTAAAGAAACCTGTGTGGTGAAGTGGTTGCCTGAGACCAGGTCCCAGCAGCAGAAGTGGCACACAGCACTTCAGGCTTCTGCTTCTAGAGTGCTCTTCTGACCACTGTGGACAAGGAGCTGATGCAGTAGCCTCAGTTGACAAGATGATACACAACTGCTCATCTTCTCAAGATTAAGTCTACCTCAATAAAGGTAGTGAGAAGTGTTGACACTTGGGAGTTTTGAGAACAGTGCCCACAGAAATTGCTCACATTGGATGTGGAGAAAGAGAAAAGGCAAGTATGCCTGTGGTTTGGAGGGGAACATCAGGGTGGGAGAGAGGTCAAGATCAGAATTCAGTCTCAGACATGCTTGATATGAGACTCAAGTAGAGAGTCTGGCAGGAAACAGGGGACATAGGAATCTAAAGTTCAAAAAGAGGTCAAGGTTGCAGAGAGCTTTGCAAGTCACTGGGATACAGACAATACTTAAAGTTGTAATGCTGACTACAGAGAGAGGTACTAAGGGGGCAAGTGCAGACTGATAGAAGACAGCAATCCAACTCCAGGACACTTCACACTATAGGGTGAGGAGAAGAAAAGGAACAGGTTAAGGAGTCAGGAAGAGAGTACTCAGTGAGGTGGACAGAGCACCAGATAGTGAGGGGATGGATTCCAGATGCCAAGGAAAGAAATAAAACAAAAGAGAGGAAGAGTGACAACTGTCCAATGCTGCAGCAGGCACAGGGAGTGCCATGACCATTGGGATAGGATGCAACTGCAATCTCCCAGCATACTTAGTGTTCATTAGTCTGACAGTAAATAGAGATGATCTCCACTACTGTTTCTCTTTCTGACTCACACCTGTTGTCTTCCACAGTACTCAGGAGGACAGTTTTACATAAACGTTTATCTACAATCTGAGTTGAAGAAGCCTCTGAAGTCTAGCAAATGTGTTTTTCTCTCCAGCCCTCCTGGATATCCCCTATTAGTAAGAGGCAGGAGAGTGGAGCCACTGTTGCATCAGCTCCACTGGTTCCAACCTGAGTGATCCTAGGCAGTGTTATCATTTTGAGTCCTAGTTTCCACAGCTATAAAGGGAAATTAGTGTAATAAAGCTGAAATGTGGTAAAATTCACAGCATGCCACCAAGAACAAAACCTGGAAATCAGTAGATGCTCAATAAGCATTTCCTCCTTCCTCTTTTCTTCTGTTATTAGAGGTATGTCTCGTTTTATTGCATTTCACTGATACTAAATTTTTATTAACATCAAAGCAACATTTTCCACCAGCAAATAGATTAGGGCTCACTGAAGGCTTAGATCATGGTCAGCATTTATTAGCAATAAAATATTTTTAAATTAATGTATATACATTGTTTTAGTAGATATAATACTACTATACACTTAACAGACTTCAGTAACCATTCATTTAATGTTGTCAATAGGTTCTACCATCTTAATGACATACAATGAAACTAAATTTACCATAGGCCAATTGACATACAGAAGAGTTAAGTTCCTATAATATATCATCAATGTTATAATGGAACAACATGAAGCAAATGATGTTATACAAAGACATGCTGTATATTCTAAACAGAGCTTTTATGGGCACTGGGAAACCAAAAAGTGTGTGACTGACTTTATTGTGCTTTTTACTTTATAGTGGTGGTCTAGAACCAAACCCACAATATCTCTGAGGTATGCCTGCCTATATAAACTACTGTTTAGAAAGCCAGACTTGAGACCAAGATGGAGGCGTAGGTAGACACACTGTGCCTCCTCGCACAACCAAAATAAGGACAACAAAAATTCAGAATCAAAAAAACAACCAGTACTGACAGAAAATTGAACTGTATGGAAGACCCATAACCAAGGAGTTAAAATAGACACACTTATCCAGATGGGTAGGAGGGGAGGAGTTGGGCAGCCAGGCAGAGGGGGCTCACAGCAAAAAAAGCGGTGGCTGACTGACCCTGGGTGCACATGAGGTGGCTGGCAGACCCCAGGCATGGAGTGGCAGGGGGTGGACCCAGGGAGATGGCAGATTGTGGAGGGGCGAGGCATGCAAGGCAGCTGGCAGATGGGTGGGGCGGTCCCACATTCCCATATAGACAAACTAGGTAAAACTGCGAAGCGAGACAGACCATGCAAGCCAGTGTCCCAGTGCAGGGAAATAGAGCCTCAAAACACTGACTGAAAACACCTGTGGGGGTTGAGGTGCTGAGAAAGACTCAAAGCCTCACAGGAGAGTTCGTTCGAGAGACCCACAGGGTCCTAGAACGTACACAAACCCACCCACATAGGAATCAGCACCAGAAGGGCCCAGCTTGCTTGGGGGCAGCAGGGGAAGTGGCTGAAATCCAGCAGAGAGCAGAGCAAGTGCCATTGTTCCCTGTTGGACCCCTGCCCCACATACAGCATCACAACTCAGCGACGTGGGTTGCCCCTCCAGGGTGAACACCTAAGGCTTCGCCCCTTATTATGTAACAGGTATTTCAAGACAAAAAAAAAAGGCCCAAACAAAAGAACAGATCAAAGCTCCAGAACAAATACAACTAAGCGACGAAGAGATAGCCAACCTACCAGATGCACAGTTCAAAGCAGTGGTGATCAGAATGCTCACAGAATTGGTTGAATTTGGTCGCAAATTAGGTGAAAAAATGAAGGCCATGCTAACTGAAATAAAGGAAAATACACAGGGAACCAATAGTGATGGGAAGAAAACTGGGACTCAAATCAATGGAGTGAACCAGAAGGAAGAAAGAAACATCCAATCAGAAAAGAATGCAGAAACAAGAATTCAAAAAAATGAGGAGAGGCTTAGGAACCTCCAGGACAGCTTTAAACATTACAACATCTGAATTATAGGGGTACCGGAAGGAGAAGAGGAAGAGCAACAAGGGGCAAAGTTATTTGAACAAATAATAAAGGAGAACTTCCCCATTCTGGCAAAGGAAACAGACTTCCAGGAAGTCCAGGAAGCTCAGAGAGTCCCAAAGAAGTGGGACCCAAGGAGGAACACACCAAGGCACATCATAATTACCTTAGCCAAGATTAAAATGAAGGAGAGACTCCTAGAAGCAGCAAGAGAAAAGGAGACAGTTACTACAAAAGAGTTCCCATCAAACTTTCAGCTGATTTCTCAAAAGAGACATTGCAGGCAAGAAGGGGCTGGAAAGAAATATTCAAAGTCATGAAAGGCAAGGACCTACATCCAAGATTGCTCTATCTAGCAAAGCTTTCATTTAGAATGGAAGGGCAGATAAAGTGCTTCTCAGATAAGGTCAAGTTAAAGGAGTTCATCATCACCAAGCCCTTATTATATGAAATGTTAAAGGGACTTATCTTTGAAAAAGAAGATAAAAAACATTGTATAGTAAAATGACAGCAAACTCACAATTATTAACAACCACACCTAAAACAAAAACAAACTAAGCAAACTAAAACAGGAACAGAACCACAGAAGTAAAGATCACATGGAGGGTTAGCAACAAGGGAGTGGGAGAAGGAGAAAGGGGAAAAAGGTACAGAGAATAAGTAGCATAGATGGTAGGTAGAAAATAGACAGGGGGAGGGCAAGAACAGTATGGGAAATGTAGAAGCTAAAGAACTTATGACACATGGACATGAACTAAAAGGGGAGAAGTGTGGGTGGGAGAGGGTGTACAGGGGAGGGGTGTGAAGGGGGAAAATGGGACAACTGTAATAGCACAATCAATAAAATATATTTAAAAAAAAAGAAAAAAAAGAAAGCCAGACTTGAGAGAATCAGACACGTGGCCAAGTTGGTATTCACCTACCTTCTTCCCTAGGGTCAAGACCTGAAGATAAGGGTGTGCAAATGCTCACAGTACTTAAGCTTCTTTCGCAGGGTCACAGAGTCCTCCCCAAAAGAGAGATTCTCCTGACATGAATTACATAAGTACAAATAGCAAGTAAATCTGAACTAGTTCTCATTTTAGATACTGACCCTAGGAAAACAGCCCATCTACTCCTTAGCCACCAGGTCCCTAAAACTTCCACATGAAGCCATGTATGATTTATCACTCTACTTCACTCAATACCACTGGAAGAGAGAAGGGTCCCTGGAATCAACTACCTGCTTCACACCAAATTTATTAGGAAGTGAATCCATTGCTTACCTTCTCAATGTCTACAAGTTCAGTCTCGTAAATCTCAGCAATGGTAATGTGGTGTTTGGCTGCGATTGTAAACCTTCCCTGGGGGGATGACAAAAAACATAGTCACCTTACTTTTTTGCCTATTTTAATAACAACCCACTTAGAAGCAAGAAAAAAAATATAACTTTAAACCATTTCAAGGAGTCCACCCCACAGCCACTCAAGCAAGGCAACGTCTTACCATGTCTGTGTAAATGTCGATGGCTGCATTTAAGCAGTTGATAGCCTCTGAAGCGTAGGCATTTAAGGAAAACAATGAAAAATCCATTCAGTCAAATAGGGTTCAGGTGAGCCCTACTGGATGCTACTAGAACACTAAGGGGGTCCCATTTAGGGCAGAGGGTGGGCAGGTTGGTTAGTGAGAAGCAAACACTAATCAAACACAAATCCAGACCTCTTCACCATGCTCTCTACACAGCAGCTGCAGTGCAACTTAGGGAACTGGAGCTAGAGTGGTATTGGATCAGTTACTCTTAATCTAAGAGTGAGGACTCTAATCAAGGGAAACACTGCATTATAAAGAAAACAAATATGGGTTGTCAATAACAATGATTATCTACATCAGCTATAACATAAATGTAAGTGAATTCTTCAGTGACATCATATATATATATTCATTTTGGAAGATAATACTTTACAAGAAAGATGACAATAGGCTACTTCATGCAGCTAAATCAAAGAGACTTTGAAATCCTTGTGCAGACAACTCTTAAGTAAAGTCAACATTTTGTACAATGTTAAAGATGCTAAATTTTGGTGTGCTAACATATACACAAAAGGAAGAAAAATCTAATAAATGACAGAGTTAATAAAGTATATCAATCTCCTTTTTTAATCTTTTAACTGAAAACTTTATTGGTAACCTAAAAATGTGTACAAGTTAAAACATGAATACTTCATATGGTTTACTTACAGCATTTAAATTTTCAAAGAACATTACATTGTAAGAAATGACTCAATTCTTTTTTCTTTTCACTATAAGTAAAGGTTAACATAGCTACTACAAAAATGCAGGTATGAATTATAACAAGAACCAACATGTATTTGGAAACCAAGCCACATAAGCTTGGCTGGTGCATTCGGCCATTTCACTGGCCTTCAAAAACAAAGATTTGTAAATACTTTCCATCATGCGTTCATCTACATGAATCATCTATTTTCTTGTATAAAGTTGATGCCCACAGGTTTGGCATTTAGGGATGCACTGAAATGGATTCTGAGGTAAGGAAAGCATTTCATGGGATGAAGGAGCCAGGTCCAAAATAAAAAAGCTGGAGGTTTGCATTTTAAAACTGAGCACACATTTCCAGATAAAATGGATTAAACTCCTGTCCAGAGATTTTCACGGACATTTTCATTGTATCTACAGAATTTAAAATGTCTACAAGAGCTGCAGGCCCTTAATTAACACACTTGACATTTTGATTCTTAAAGATTTGGCATTCTCCACAAAAAACTGCGAAACAAAACCAGTTTTCTCTAGGAAGCATTTCCAGGCTCAAGAATATGCATGATTTTAGAGTGTGTGAAGCCCACTCTTCTCTTGATAGTCTCCATAGAAGTGTCTCAGGGACTTGGGAGTTCGGGGCATCACAGTGCTCAGGGCCTGAGTGAAATGTCTTCTCCTAATGCATTTGGCTTTCATGTCTTCTTCCAACACTAGCAGGGCGGCTCTCTGCAGACGGCTATAACCTCTCTTCCTGAGTATGTGTCCATTTGGAGGATGAGTTCATTCAGATCAACGTCCTGACTGACTGGCAGAGAGTGAAACTGCAGGTTAAAGATTTCCCTCCTTGTGGTTCCATCTCCTAAAGGCACATTAGATGATTCTATTGATTCTTCCAGGCCACATCAATGCCTTGTCTATCCTATCTGGGTGGTTAGTAGCAGCCAAAACTGGCATGTCTTTTAACTGCTTGATGCCATCCATTTCCATGAGGAGCTTAGCCAGAACACAGTCAGCCACATTCTCAGCACCTGAAGAGCTGCCCATTTCAACCCCTAAGGTGTCCAGTTTGAAGAAAACAATGGAAAGAGCCACCATTCTTGCTTTGCAGAAGACCTCTCTAACAGCTCTTTCAGATTCACCACCATACTTATTCATTAGTTCAGACCCCTTTAAGGCTAGGACATTCAGTCCACTTTTATTTGGCCAAAGCTTTGGCGATCATTGTTTTAGAGCATCCAGATGGCCTGTACAGAAGAACTTCCTTAGGTGGCTGAACATGCATTTGGGTGACTCTGGGTGCTTCAAGGGCCACATTCCACAGCCTGTTTCAGTTTCAGTTTGATATTTTCCAGTCCTCCTATATCTGACCAGGATACATTTGGAACATCAACTGCAACCTCCCTCATGGCACTGGGCCTGACTTCATTCATTGCTGGCAAAAAATCATTCACAGTGATCTTCACCAACCCAGCCACCTTGCTATTAGGGAGGTTAGGCCGTTTCTTCAGGAATCTCTGCAAGGCACAGAGACCTGATTCATTACAAAGGCTTTCAGGTCTGCTCCAATGTATCCATGAGCACCATTTGCCATCTGCAGCAGCTCAGCTTCAATGAGGACATGGAGCACCTTTTGAAGTATTTTGTGAAGGATATTGAGCAGGTCCTGAGCATTAGAAACTCCAATCTCAATCTCTTTACTGAATCGCCCAGGTCAGCAGAGTGCATTATCCAAAGCATGCGGGCAATTTGTGGCCCCGATGACTAACACCTGTCCTTCATTTCCTTCTGAATCAATACTATCCATCAGTGTTAGGAAAGAAGCTACAACTCTTTTTACCACTTCATTCTGAGTCCCTTCTCTTTTGGGGCAAAGTGCATCCAGCTCATCAATGAAAATAATTTATGGGTGCTGCAGAGCATCTTCAGCAAATATCTAACGTAATCTTGCTTCAGTCTTCCCATAGAATTTGCTCACAATTTCAAGACCATTTATCACAGACACACAGGCCCTGACCTCATGGGCTATGGCCCTGGCAATCATGGTCTTCCCATGATTGGGGGGGTAAAGGGGGTATAGAGTAGCACTCCTCCAGGCAGAGGGATTCTATAACACTTGAAAAGTTCAAGCTGCTTGAGAGGAAGTTCAATTATTTCTCCAACTGCTTTCAGCTGACCATTTAAGCCTCTTCTATGTCATAAGCTACTTTGAATTGGTTCTCTTTGCTCCTTTGTATGAATTTTTATAAAATTGACTCTGGTTGTTGTAGAAATGAAATAAAACATATCAGTGTTACACTGTGCTCCCAGACTGGCTGACTTTGGCACGCTCTCTCCATTGGCAAGGTCCTTGTTTCCTTCTCCCGCAGATGCAAAGTGACATCCAGGGGCTGTGACTCCCGCGAGCTCAAGCCTACTATGCCACCAGGACTCATGTGACATCCGACAAAATGTCACCAGTTTTATTTTTCTTTCTGTCATCTACTGGTTTGCAGGGAATACTGTCTGACGATGGGACCTGGGGCTCAGCCAGATCCAGCTAGCTTAGGTATAAGGGCAGATCCAGCACCAGCCTGTTCAGAGGCTGCTCCCTGGGTGTCAGTGTCAGTGTCATTCCACAGCTGTTACAGTACCATGACATCTGCCCCTTTCACCTGCAGCACTTGCTACTTCCTGTAATGTACTGGAAGTTGCCTGGTAAAACAATCTTGCCATCTAGTTTTCTCAGAAAACAATCAACCAGTTGTTCTTCACTGATATCCACATTTTTGTCACTGAGTGCCACGTCCATCGCCTCGGCCTGCAGTACAGCACCTAGCAGGGGCTGGAAGTGGATGGATGGCGTTGCCACCTCGGACACCCACATTCTTCTGGGCTATTTCACTCAGGCCAACCTTGCCTCCAGGAAACCCAGACACAGGCAGGCTGTGTAGACCTCTTGTTTTCCATGTGAACTGGTAAGCAGCACTGGTCAACCTGTACATGTATTTGCAGGCTTCATAATGCTGAGTCCAAGTTGAACAGGGGAATTCTGGAACTTTTTAGGAATTTCAGCATCCTTTTCTAAGAAGTTGATCACCACCAGAGTTCCAGTCGCCACTGGGAAGCCAGCTTCAGCACAAGTCCCCAAGGCCCCCTCAGGGGAGTGAGCTGCAGTGGGCAAGGGCGAACTGCTGTTGGAGCTCTGGTTGAGCCATTTTTTGTTCTTCTTGGAAGACATGATCGGAGGGCAGCCTGGAAGTTGAAGCCTTAATCTTCTAAAACAGTGAGTCAACACACCATCACAAAATAGTGGTGTTTTTAATTCTGGCATTTGTTTCACAGTCCCACATTTATTGCTTCTGGAAAAGAGGCAGCAGAGTAACAAGGCCTGACTAAAGAATAGAAAGGTGATTAACAAAAAAATAGCCCTGGCTGGTGTGACTCAGTGGATTGACAGTTATCCTCCAAACCAAAGGGTGGCCAGTTCTATTCACAGTCAGGGCACATGCCTGGGTTGCACACCAGGTCCCCAGTAGGGGCACGAGAAAGGCAACCACACACTGATATTTCTCTCCCTCTCTTTCTCCTTCCCCTTCCCCTAATCTTTAAAAACAAATACAGTAGTACATCCTTAAAAAACAAAAACAAAAAGCAATTTCCTCCTAAACTATGTCAAAAATGTGGAATCATTGTCACACCTTTAAAAATACAAAAAAGGAGAGAAAAATAAGCTACCTATAATCCCACTTAAACTCACTCTTAGTTATTTGATGTGCTTTGCCATCTAGTTTTCTAGATGCATTTCTGTGTGCACAGACTTTATTATAATTTTGAGATCTCAATTCTCATGTGGTTCTTTAGTTACCATGTGGACAATTCCAGGTCACTAAAGATTCTCTGAAAGAAGGGATTGTAATGACTGTATCATATTCTACAATACCGATGCATTAAAACTATTCTCATCTTTTGCTCATTTAGGCTTTGTTCAGTTTTTCTCTTTTAGACATGAGTTGTGATCAATCTCTATGTAAAAGCCCTTGAAAATATCTTATGATATAGTCATAAAATTTGGAATTTCTATGTTAAAATGGACTGCTAAAACTGAAATTGAGAACAGGCTGACAGTGACCAGAAGGAAGAGGGGAGGGAATTTCAGGGGAAAAGGGGAAGGGTTTGCAAGAACAAGTATAAAGGACACATAGACATGAGCGTGGGCTGGGAACCAAAGCATCGCAGGTTCGATTCCCAGTCAGGGTACATGCCTAGGTTGCAGGCCATGACCCCCAGCAACCGCACATCGATGTTTCTCTCTTTCTATCTCCCTCCCTTTCCTCTCTAAAAATAAATAAATAAATAATCTTTAAAAAAAGAGTGCTCCCACTATTAAAAAAAAAAAGGACACACGGACAAAAACAAGGGGGTGGGGGTGTGGAAACGGGAGGGAGCTGGGGAGGGCTGGGGTGGGCTGGGATGGGGGTAAAAGGCAGAAAACTGTACTTGAACAACAATTAAAATAACGTAAAAAGAAGAAGAAGAAGAAGAAGAAGAAGAAGAAGAAGAAGAAGAAGAAGAGAACTCCATAGCTATCTATGAGTGCATGTGTGGAAAGAAATTCATGCTTTTAATCGTTAAGTGTGCAACCCTCTAACTAAAAGAGAAGTAATATTTACAAAATTTTACCATTTTAAGTACCCTACTTCATTCTTTCCTTAAAACAAATACTCTGAAAAACAGTTTAAAAAGTCAGATGACTATTATGTGAGTAAGCTGATTTTAACCATCGGATATTACAATCTCCCATTAACTGGATCTTAAAACTCACTAGGTATTTAGCAATGAGGGACTACGGGAGTTTCATTTAATAAGCAATATACATACATATTCACAAAATTAGGATATAAGAAACCTTAGATAAAATAAAAGCTTATTTCCAAAATTCTCCAAAATGCCACATGAAGTTTAAGAAAATGATGTTAAGCAAGCAGATAAACAGGATAAATTTAACATATCTTGTCATTAAACCTCCAAATGATTAAAAAAATTTCTAAAGTTACCAAAATCTCTATACTATAAAGTACAAAAATTTATTTTTACCAAGGCTCAAAGAGCCCAGCAGTATAACCTGTGAAAAGGTCGCCAACATCAGCCCTACTGCCCTAGATCGGTGATTTTCAACCTTTTTCATCTCATGGCACAGATAAATTTATTACTAAAATTCTGTGGTACACTAAAAAAATATAGTTTTTGCCAAGCTGACAAAAAAAGTTATAATTTGATTCACGTGCAGTGGATGGCTATTGTTGTACTGGCTGCTGTTATTTGTTTCATTGACAATCTAAGAGAAAAGTGGTTAGTGCCCCTGACTAAATAGTCAGTTACTGCATATTTTAAATATTCTTGTAGCCATGGCATACTGGTTGAAAATCGCTGTCTAGACAGAGGTGTGTCTTACCTTGAGGGTCTGCCTTTTTGTAAGCATTCCCAGCATCCACAAAGCTGGTAGCAGAATCATGTTTGCTCTGAAGCTGCATATGGAGCTTGGCTGCCTGACAAAATGCATTTCCTGCAGCTGAGGAAGATAAATTACTACAATTAAACAGAGAGGCACAAGTATTCCCACAGAACAGCCCATGTCCTAAGTGCTAGACCTACTCCTAGAAAGTTTCATTACACTGAAAAGAAGTACTCCAGTGAGAAGCACATGAAAATGTGATCTAGTGCATGTTAGGTATATATAAAAATGACCAGAATCAGTCAAACAGTGATAAAAGCTTCTCTCAGCCACAGAGGACCTCCCAAGTGGCCCCTGAGCAATAAGCCTCCATTCAATAGCAACAGCCTAATTCTAGGCTGTTCAATTCTGTTCTACGGAGTATAATGAACAATGACTGGCAGATTTAAGCTACTAATGTTCAAACAAAGGTAAAACACTCAGGTCATTTATTTGATCATCTTTCTATTTTACAGTGTCCACTGGACTTAGTTGTGATTGAAGAAAACCGTTAATGAAGGCTTCATGAACAAGAATTTCTCAAAGAGTGATAATTATGCCTAGAATTATGAAATTCAGGTTTTTCTTATATAAGAAGTCTAATTTGTCTGTATTCCACTTAGTCTGAAAACTCATACTACTTCCCTGCAGAATCACAGATGGATTTCGTTATGGGGTGCTGCTCATGTCTTTTTTGGGATATAGCACAATGTGAAAGATTTGTGCACTAAAATTTTTTCAGAAAAGGTTCTGGATCCAGGACTATAAATTCTGGAGTGGCAAAAAAAAAAATGAAGGAAGGAATTCCTAACAGAGAAATCACATGAACAAGGAACAAATGCTTGAAGGCAAGAAAGGGCTAAAACTAAGCCAAAGAGAAGGCCATGCTTGCTGGTGGGAGGAGGAATGAAAGTGCAGGGGCAGTAAAAATCAAGGCTGATGATGCTGACAGGTCAGTTCAGGGAAGTTAAATGTTAACATGAGAAACCTGGGCAAAGACAGATCTACTTCAACATGAAGTTCTCAGTTCAGAGAGAGCACAGTACCATGGCAGTGCCTCAGCAAAATGAGCACCATAGACTGGGAAGTACAAAGGCCTATCAAGACACAGCTCAGTAAGATCTGGAATAGGGAAGTCAGTACCAACATGAAAGGAGAGAAAAGAATTTGCTCCATTGGAAAAAGCAAAATTAAGAATATTACAGAACCTTTTGGTCTTAAAAAAACATATTTCAAAAATATACAGAATATAGTGTCAGATGCCTAAGTACCCACTGCTGATAATAAATGTTGACTTTAAATTCCTTTTTAAGAGATAAAACATCCCTTTCCATTAAAGCTTCATCTGCTGTCCGTTGTCCCTTCCCTTTTTCCAGAGGTAACCACATAATTCCCACTGGAGTTTCCAGACTTTCTTTCACTTGAGGGTAAAAAGGTAGTACAAACTCCCCAGCCTGCTGAGGTTTAACTCTTCTGTATAAGACAGAAAGAAGGCCCAGGCAGTTTTGAAAATATTTAGCCACCAGCATGAACAGAGTACTCCTGCCCACCTGGCTTTAACCCTTTCATTGGTGAATCATGAGGATGGGGTTCCCAGAGGAGGGGCCAATGCCACTTTATGAGTAGTGGGCAGGCACCTGAAGTACTTGGAGCATCAGCTAACTTGTAAATGGCAGTTCAGGAATATATTAGCTGAATAGAAGCTTTGATGGGTTCTACCCTGGAAGAGTACAGTGATAACTTGGATCTCCCAAGTAAAGTGCTTACAACAGACTGGCTCCAGTTACACATCATTATTATTATTACAGGCAAATCTACCAATAGCAGTGGTTTGGCATGTTTAAATGTTATCATTTCCTTTAAAACTTACATCCCTTCTCTTCCACCAATAATTTCATTTCTGTAGTTTATCTATGTTGACCAATTATGGTCCAGCCTTTCCCCACTAAGTAGAATACCACAACATCCAGGCTCTCTAGGGCAATATTTCCCCAGACAATATTAAGTGCTTTGATTTTATAGTTTCATGCTCCCACCTCCCAAAACTAGTTGCTGGCTTACTTATTAACAGAACACTCATTCTAATCACCTCTAACAAATATCAGTTTGATTTCTCCAAACTTAGAAGTGTCTTTAAAGAAGCATATAGTAAAGTCATACAACTTCTCAAGTTAAATTTCTTCACCTGTAAAATTGGTATAATACCTGGCAGGATTATCTCTCAAAAGCTAAGTATCAAACAAATTAGCTTAATCTTTATAAAAGAACTTTAAAACTATAGATGTGCAGTGGTGTTAGGATCACCACTGCTGCAACACAGAAATCATTCCACAGAATCTAATATTTATTCATTTACTACACAAATATCCTCAGCATCTACCATGTTGCAGACACCAGTCCAGGCCCTGAAGGTATAACACGGATGAAACACAGAAACATCCTGGCCTTTTATGGTTTACATTCTAGTGAGGGGACAGTACATAATAAAAACACACACAATATAAATTAGTAAACATTGTTCACTTATTTTTGCTAGATGGTGATAAGGGCATTGGAGAAAAGGGAAGGAGATTTCCAGGAAAAAGAAGATTGCTATCTTTAAAAAGGGTGGCCATGGAAGACCTGAGAAGACAACATTTGAAAGGGGTAAAGGAAACAAAATCAGGCACATTCTATTTCGGGGAAGAGGGTGCACGAAAGGTTCTGAGAAGGGAGCCAGGTGAATGAGGGGAGTGGGTGAATAAGGTCAGAGAAAGGCAGAGACAGGGATCAAAGTTTAGGTAGATCCTGAAAGCCTACTGTTAAGGACTCCAGCTCTTATTTAAAATGACATAAGCTGACTTATGGAATTTCCTTAGTGTTAGAACATCTGATTACCAGATAAAAGAAATAAGTGATCTTTTTACTTTTCACCTCTGATTACAAGACCTGAACAAAACATGTGAATGCTGAAATAACACTTATTTTCTCCTCCATTTTTGCAGTACATTATAATTCATGTATAAGTGCATTCTGAAAACATATAACATAACCTTATAAAACTAAACTTCTAAAAAAAATTTAGAGCCAGAAAAGACCTTTCAGATTCATCTAGTTCAACAGCATTTTCTTCACTGAAATGATTTTAGAGAGCTAGCTCTAAAAGCAAATGGGTAAATCAAAACTTATACACCTTAAACCTATACAACATTTTATGTCTATTATATCTCAATAAAGCTGGAGTGGGGAAGCAAATGGGGGAACAACCCTGGAGAGGCCAAGGACCCCCTTCTGTAGGTCACGTAGCAGGTGTAAGCCAGGGCCAGAGACCATGTCCCTGTGAAGGCCACCTCCATTTCACTACAGAAATACCCTACCATGACAAACCCCTTTATCTAGGTGTGGAGATAAACTTGGTTCTCAAATCAGTAATAGAGGGAGACATCCCCTCTCAAACCAATAAAAATAATAATTCTGTTCATTTTTTATGTGTAATTTCACTAGGCAGAAAGAATTACTTTAAAAAATGGCAGTAAGTCTGTTGGGATTTATACAACGACACTCCCATCATATTTCTCAAAGAAACCACAATCAGTTATCACAATGCTGTTCTCAGAGTAAGAAACATAAGTTCTCTACTATTGTTTAGGTAAACAAAAGCAAGCATTTTTATTCATCCTACTTGTTTTCATTGAATTTTACCACAACTTTCAGTCTTTCTGGCAACTTGAGCACATTAGTAAGAAGCAAAAATTACTCTTACTGTACGAAGTGGTTTATAGAAATTAAAACAGACCCAGTCCCTATGTTTCATGTCAGTATTTCAACTTCATTCACTAAATCACTGTCCTTTAATTCCAGTTCATGGTGGCCACACCAGTTATTCAGCACTGACACCTGGCTTGGGGCCAATAGTCTTATTCTCTAAAGGGACAGCAGTCATTTCTTCTTTCAAAATAATTTTAAAGTTACCTGCCTGAATAACAAACAAACAAAAACTGTATACATACCACTCCAATTTTTAGCCATCTTGAACATATTTGCAGCTCTGGTATACATTTCACAAGCCTCTTCTATTCTTGTGTTTCCTCTGAGAAAAATTTAAAAATGGCATTAAGTTTTACTATAACAATCATCCATGTCCCTTAAACAATAAATACTTAACTAGCACATGTAATACTATAGGGCAGACAGCAATAGAAAATCTTAACAGTTGCTTAAAGGGGATATTCTTATTCCTATTTTCCAGATGAGGAAACTAAGGCATACAAAAGTAAAGTAACTAGCCAAAGGTCACATAGCAAAGATACCACAGAACTGAGACTCAAATATTGATCTGGCTGACCCCAGATCTTTATTCTTAACCAGTCATATCCATGAATGAAAACTTAAATGTATGTCAATCTGAGAAATAAGAACTACATTTTTCAAAGGAGATAAAAATTGGAAGGATAAAGACATCTTTACCATGTTAATTTCCAAGAGTTTAGCACTATGCTTACTCAGACTTAAAAACAAACCCTGAAGCCAGAGCATATAAGAAAGTGCCACACAGTTCTATGGCTATATTATCTGTCCGTTGTGTGATAGGGAACACACCCTTCCCCAGTTTGGAAGGGGCTATACATTCCAGCCACTCATCCCATGTGGAAATACACCCTGAGAGGAAGCAACTCCACTGCTGCTTTTAAAACATACACTTCTGGAAAGTTCTTCAGCAGCTGATTCCATTGAGGAACAGTTTTAGTTGCTTAGAAATTTCTTCTTACGTAAAAGCCAAAAATAATCCTCTACAACTTCCACCTGTTTTCAAAGTCAAACTTGTTTTCATTAAGCTAAGTCCCTTCTATTAAAGATATTCCTGTATCATGTCTATCTATGTTATAAACACAGAATAACCACAGGAAAACCACAACACAGCAGACTATAACTGTGCAGTACTCATAATGACTGACTGAGAGTGAAGTATGGACATAATAACTAAGTGACAGGTGAGGTCAAGGCTGACAAGAGTGGCCATGATATGAACATGAGTGACGGCATTACATAGGCCAAGAATGCAAACAGGCTTCCAACTCCGACTTAAAAGGCATGCAACTCAGTCAGTACAGTCCCAGTGTAGAGGAGCTGATAGGGCCAGGTGTGACTTATACCTTAGGCAACAGTAACTACTTTCTAACTCTAGGCTAGTTCTTCAGTTCTTTGGGTCTCTGTTTTTGCCTGTGTACTGAAGATATTATCTGTACCTTTGGGTTATTATGAAGATAAAAAGAAATACTTGACCAACAGTATGTACTCAGGATGATCATTATAATTGGATTCACATATCAAAGGCATAAAATTCTTTAAGGATGTTTGTACATCATGTCTAATAGGGACTTGTATCTAGAATATGTAAGAAACTTGTATAATTGAATAATAAAAAGACCATTAAAGAAATAAGTAAAGGATGTAAACTGACATTTCTCCAAAGAAGATATACAAATAGCCAATAACATATAAGAAGATGCTCAACATTATTAACCATCAGGGAAATGCAAATCAAAGCTACAAATGAGGTATCACTTCATTCCCACTAGGAGGGCTAGAATCAAAAGACAGGTAATAACAAATAACAGTAAGGATGTGGAAAAGTTAGAAACCTCACTTGTTGCTAGTACCAATATAAAATGGTTCAGCCACTTTGAAAAACACTTTGGCAGTTGCTCAAAAGGTTAAACATAAAATTAGTATATGATCCAGCAATTCTACTACTAACTATACAACCAAGAGAAATGAAAACATATGTCCACAGAAAAACTTGTATACAAATGTTCACAGCAGCATTATTCATAATAGCCAGAAACTGGAAATAACCCAAATGTCCAACAACTGATAATGAGTAAATAAAATGTGGTACACACAGAATGAGATATTATTAAACAATAAAAAGGACTTAAGTCCTGATACATGATACAATGTGGATAAGCACTGAAAGCATTATACAGGGGCTAGCACAATGTCCCTTTTTTATAACAAAATCTTTCATCACAGAATCATAAGCATGTAATTATGTAACATAACAATATCACACTCAAGCAAACCATATGACATTTTAGGTGAAATGTTCGAATTAAAACCATAAATTATTACACCCATATTATTACTCTAACAATAACACTCAAGTAGGCATTACTTCTTCTGGACCCTGTATGTTACGTCAAAGAAGCAGTAACAGGGTTCAGAGTATGGTCTCCCAAAAACCCCCACAATCCTTGACTAGGGGAAGGGAAGACCAGATAGTACAGAGTTTAAGATACACTGTATAACAAAAGGCATGTTAAGTGCCATGCCTTACTAAAGGGAAGAGGGTTGCTGCCCAGGGCAAATTATGTTCATGACTTTGAGAACATTCAGAGACTTGTGACATAGTTAGGGGAGGTGGATGTCCACCCTGGATGCACCTGTGTCACTGGAAACTCTTGCCCTGACTAAAGATGGCAGCTGAAAGAGGGTAAAAGACACTGGGGAACTGACAAAAATGGTGGATGCTAATGTACCATAGGAAGAGATGGATATGAGATCACATAGGAAGTTCCAGGCCAAGCACTTAAATTAAGGTGGGCTGAAGGTTAGGAAGAGAGAGCCACAAGGTCTGCAGTGGGAGAGGAGGTCCACTGGGAGGTCTGAAAATCAGTGAATCTGCCACAAGGAGGTCGGCCAGGAAATCTGCCTGGAGAAGACAGTGGCAGACCTGATGGAGCTACAGGGACCTACCTGCCTAGCCACCCAGATTCATGAGAAATGCTTGGAGCTGAACTGTGATGGGGAATGCTGAGCTGCAAACTTCTGTTTTTCTGAAAGACAGTACCTCTGAGTAGTATATACTGAAACTGGCCTGGTTTGGCAAAGTGAGGAAGGACTGTACGTTTTTGGTGTTTTTAAAGGGAGAAGGACTTAACAGCAGAAATCTGCATTATTCTAAATCTGTATAACCTTTATTTTTTCATTTCATTTATATTTTAATTATATTTTATTGTTTGTGCTATTATAGTTGTCCCAGTTTTTCTCCCTTTATAGCCCACTACCCAGCTCCCCAACCTCCACTTTCTCACAATATCCCCACACCACTGTCCATGTCCATGGGTCATACGTATATTTTCTTTGGCTACTCTATTTCCTATGCTATACTTTACATCTCCATGACTATTCTGTAACTTCCAACTTGTATTTCTTAATTCCTTCTCCTCTTTTACCCATCTCTGACCTCCCTTCCATATGACCATAAAAATGTTCTGTCTCTAAAATTGTGTTCTGTTCTGCTTGTTTGCTTTTGTTTTTTAGATTCAATTGTTGACGGATATGTATTTATTGACATTTTATTGTTCATATTGTTGATTTTCTTCTTCTTCTTAAAGAAGACCCTTTAACATTTCATATAATGCTGGTTTGGTGATGATGAACTCCTTTAGCTCTTTCTTATCTGGGAGATGAACCCAAAGAGGACCACCACACCATAACACATCATAATTAAAATGCCAAAGATTAAAGACAAAAAGAGAATCTTAAAAGCAGCAAAAGAAAAGCAGTTAGTTACCTAAAAGGGAGCTCCCATAAGACTGTCAGCTGATTTCTCAAAAGAAACTTTGCAGGCTAAATCTGTATAACCTTTAAATAAATGACACCTTTCCTTGTTAACCAAACTCTTGGACTGGGAGTTATGCTTCTTGGTGGTGGGCAAGTGAACCCCACAGCACTGGCAGGGTTCTATAACAAAGCCAGTCACAAAAAAAGCTCATACTGTATAATTCCATTTATATGAAAGGTATTAAGTAGGCAAATCCAGAGACAGAAAACAGATTACTCGTTGCTTAGAATGGGAGTATTGGGGATAAAGGGGGACGTGGGGGAACAGAGTTTCTTTTTGGGTTATGAGTGTATTCTAAAATTGACTGTTGTAATGGTTACATAGCTCTGTGAATATGCTAAAAATGACTGATTTCTACACTTTGAATGAGTTAATTTTATGATATGTAACATTATATATACACATATAAAGAGCAAACAAAAAACCTTTGGGGGCTATGTCACACAGTGAATGACAGAATGGCAACAAGCCGTACCAAAAGTACAAGTGTCGGAATAAGCAATGCCTTCTCCCACTCCCACCTCAGGTTCCTTTCCCTCCACTTCAAATCAATCTTCCCCCCTGTATATATATAATTTTTATTTATGATTTTTAGAGAGAGGAAGGTAGTTAAGGAGAGAAAGAGACAGACAGACATACAGACAGATCTATTTGTTGTTCCACTTATTTATATATTCATTGGTTGATTCTTATATATCCCTTGACTGGGATTGAACCCGCAACCTTTGTGTATCAGGATGACGCTCTAACCAACTAAACTACCAGGCCGGGAGATGTGTGTGTGTGTGTGTGTATATATATATATATATATATATATACACACACACATATATATATGTGTGTGCGTGCGTGTGTGTGTGTGTTTATATTCCCACAATGGAAAATTCCTAACATGAGAAAGTTTTTATCTTAGCCATGACTCCTCGGAGCTAACAAAGGCTTGCCACTTTCTTAGGTCTTGTTTTTTTCTACAGAATACCAGGACTCTTTAAGTGTAATTATAGTGCAATCATCCTTATTAAAGGTTTCCAAATAATACTAGCTTAACTTTATCCTGGCCCTGGCTGGTGTAGCTCAGTGGATTGAGCACAGGCTGAGAACCAAAGTGTCGCAGATTCAATTCCCAGCTAGGGTACATGCCTGGGTTATAGGCCGTAACCCCCAGCAACCACACATTGATGTTTCTCTCTCTCTCTCTCTCTTTCTCCTTCCCTTCCTTCTCTAAAAACAAATAAAATCTTTAAAAAAAATCTATGCTGTTGTTTTCAGAGATATAGCATGCCTACGTTATACCCAGTTTTAGGCTGAATATTTCCACATTACATCATTTTCACTATTACAACAACCATGATAGATGCTGTATTAATTTTACAGAAGAGAAAATTATGTCTGGACATTAACGGCTTGCCTGAGGTCATTCAGCCAAGGTTAATGGTGGAGCTGACACTCAATTTCAAGTTTAG